AACTTAATCTATCTTTTGTTTTGTGATTTTTTAGAGGGTTGATATAGAAATTATTCTTTTGTTTTGTGATTTTTTTGCCATGAAAAGAAACATTTTGTGTTTATCCATTAATCTGACAGAACTCAATGAGTAAAGCTAAAGAGGCTGGAACATCAGCCATGTGGGATAAAGAAGTTACTATGATCTTTTGTGATTTATGTGTAAGGGAGGTTGAGGTGGGAAATAGACTCACTACATTTTTTAACAAAGAAGGGTGGCAAAATATTTTGGTTAAATTCAAAGAAATGACTGGAAGAGATTACGATCGCATGAAAATGAAGAACAAATGGGACAAGTTAAAGAAGGATTGGAAACTATGGAAAGAACTGAAAAGGGGATCAACGGGAATGGGCTGGGATCCAGTTAAGCGCACAATAGATGCACCAGAAGAATGGTGGGCTGAAAAAGTACAAGTGCATAATTTGAAAAGCTACAGGAACTCATGCGTTCACCCCAAATGATATAGGGTTGAGCAGCTCAACCCAAGAGATGGATACCGTGCAGATAGGTGATTCAGGAGACCGTCCTAGCCATATTCACACAGATGTTCAATCCACGAGTGTGCCCTCTCGATCTTGATCCCGTCCACGTCCCCCCTTCTCTCCCGAAACAAACCCTCGGTCGTTGATTCCTCCGTCCCGATCCCGATCCAGATCCCCTCTGCTTTTCCACTTCACCTCGGTCGTCGATTCCTTTGTCTCGATCTCGATCCCCTCTATCGCGTCCCCTCTGCCCGCGAAACAAAAAGCCTTCGTTGTTTCGCGCGAAGCTCGACTGGATCCGAAGACGATCTGTCACTCGAAGGGGGCCAGCTTTCGTTCAAAGCTCTACCACGCTTGAACCGAGAAGATGATCGATAAGAATCGAAGCTCTCCTTCTGCATTTCTCTTCTCAACACCTTCCCCCGTCCACTGTAAGCATTGCCTCCCGTTCACTGTAAGAAAAAAGTTTTCTTGATTTATATTTTCTAGATGATTTTCCTTTTTTTGGATTTGAGGTTTGTGAAATTCAATTTTCTATGCGATGATTGTTTTTAAGGCCTTTGTGTTGACGAGAGCATTGACTGCTTATTCAGTTCACCTGAGATTTTATTTGTTGGAGTAATTTATCACAAAGCAATGTGTTGGAGTTTGGTAGGATCCAAGCTTCTATGGTATTTAACTATGCAGACATCTTGCTCTATCAATTTTTAGATCAACTAATTTCAAGATATGATTAATTATATTGAATTTTTCATGGACGCAGAGTGATTTTCTAGAGCAAATCGTTTGAATCAAACTTTGAATTTGTCCAATTATTATGCTCCATTCCTTTTTATGTAAAATTGATATTCCTTTCACCCTGGTGTGGAATTTTGTTAAAGGGTTATCTCTTTGAACTATTGCTATAGCCTTTTTGAACTGAACAAGGACATAATTGTCATTTATCAAACAATAATGTCAGTAAGCTGTTCTAAAAAAGCTGTCATAAACAACAAGTCAGCTTATTCTGATAATATGGAGATTATCAAATTATCAAAATAATTTGTTTATCAACAGATTATAAATAATCAACAGCTGCCCCAAACAAACCCTTAATGAAACTCCACCGATTGGACAGATCCTTCCGCTAC